CTTGGCAGTGGTTCGACTTGATCGAATTTGGAAAAGTAGTAAGGCTTCAACGACTTTGGTGCTACATTGATCGCGGCACCTCCAAGGCATATGCCAAGTTGCTGTTTCGCAACATGGTCCTAATGGAGGGGGTCTTGGTCATTCAACTCATGTCCTCCCTGTCATGTTCCGCCAGAAACACCCGATGATGCAGGTTAAGAACTTGAATTTGAACCGTGAGATCCTGGCTTATCTACAGAGAGCACAACTGTGCCCTTCATAAATATGTAATAATCATGTTCATTGCCTCGATTGGATTTTTCTTGCTGCCAGACGTATCCCTTCATCGAACCAACAATTACTTCTAATAGCTCAAAGACAGCTGACGACGATGACAGAGGCCGGCAGCATTAACACAAAAGAAATCGTCATCGTCATCGTCATTTGTGTGTTCATCAGCATTGCTTTCTACAACGTTCTCGAACTCACAGTTTCAATCTTTACTTCTTTCAAGAGACGCTCCGGATTGTATTTTTGGAGTATCTTAATTGCAACATGGGGCATAGCTTTCAATGGCACCGGCTATCTACTGAGACACCTGTCCTTGACGACCAAGCCCATCATCTACGCTACCCTTATTCTCATCGGCTGGTGTTCAATGATCACGGGACAATCAGTTGTATTATACTCACGACTGCACATTGTTGTACATGACCGGAAACGTCTGCGACTAGTGCTTTACATGATAATTGCCGACGCAATCTGGCTGCATATCCCGATCATCATCCTGGTTTATGGAGTAAACTCGGCGAATCCGGAACCATTCGAAACCCCTTATCAGATCTTTGAAAAGATCCAGCTCACTGTCTTCTTCGTGCAAGAGATCATCATTTCTGCACTATACGTTTGGGAAACAACCAAACGCGTACGCCTAATGAACAGCATCGGTGATGGTCGCGCCAAAAAGGTCATGAGCCACCTGATCTGGGTGAATATTCTGGTCATTCTTCTCGACGTTACGATCCTGGCCCTCGAGTTCACCAATCTGTATGATATCCAGACGGCTTGGAAGCCTCTAGCATACAGCGTTAAACTGAAGCTAGAGTTCAGCATTCTCAATCTGCTGGTCGAAGTCACACGAGGGGCCTCGAACAATAGCGCCTACGTGCGCAGTCAAGGGAATGCACAAGGTCATGATGTCGCACTCGAGACATTCAACGGCGAAAGGTCAAGACACTTCGCCAACACCGAAGAGCCCGAGTATGAGGTTCGTATTGGGAAAGGGGACACAAACTATCCAGCGAACAACGAGTACCCCACAAGGACAACCGAGATTACAATACACACCCAATCGAAGCAACAACATAGTGGCCAAGATAGCGACAATATCAGCGAAGGGCCAGACAAGGAAAGAGAAGGAGATGTCTGTTCAACCTCTTCTAAAGTACAGTTCGCGAGATATTAGCTTTTCGACTTCCTGCGTGATGAAATCAGACTCAAATAGTACGCCGAGCAAGCGATACCCCTTCGAGTGACATTGACAATCTTTCATTTCTCACTTGGTTCTTACACCTTTGTTTCGAGTACTCCTCAATTATGCTAGCCTAGACCTTCAATCATCAATCAATATGCCTGTACCTTCGCTGAGTTCTGATTTCAGCCCATCGAATGCTATGCGCCGTGACTTTGCGAAGATGGAAGACATTGCAGCTTCCCCATACCAAATGGCCACTCAATATATCCAGAGCAGTATGCTTGTGTGAGTTGGAGCGACTTGACACATGCTTGGGATACTGCAGAGGAACAGGCTGGCATTACACACATCAAATCGACATACTGATTCACCGACTGTGCCTTAAAACCTCGTAACCCTGATAGTTGAGCAGACGCATCACATTCCGGTAACTAAGGTAGGTAGGGGTCGATAGCCACCAGGAATTGTGTTAAGCTTAAATCGACAGGGCCTCCCCAAGCCTTCATCGCCTCATGGCGGATCGGAGGGCACATATCTTGTCCCCGCTTCCGCCCTACTCATATTCGCAACGAGAGTCCAAGAACTCTCAGTCTCACAATTGCTAGGATAAGAGCGAGAAGTAGACACGGACGAACGGATGATCGTTTAGCGCTTGGCACAAGCTCTGCATCCGTATGGTTTGGTCGATTTCGTGCTCCGAAGTGTCAGACCCAGCTTTCTTGGCCTCATCTTCGTCTCCGTGCTACGTATCTCTTGAGCCAATAATGCCATCGGCATAGGCATACAATGCAGAGACGTTGTAAGATCCGGCACCGTGCTCTCACTTATGCAGCGGCTGTGCCTGCGTCTGGATTGCATTTCAAAGCGGCAAAGTAAGGAATACTATCCGTTCTGAAATGGTCAGTTAGGGTTTCTGGCCAGACTCCATGTCCATGTGGATTTCGTTTGAAATTATAATTTCAATTCTTGCTCGTAATTATACCCTGTAGACCACATCCAATGTGCTGGTTGAAGTACTGCGGCTACGAAGTGACCCGCTGTGCCCCATGGCTCTCTGAAAAGGAGCGGCCATTTTATTCTCAAAGCTCGAGGTCGCGCCCTACCTTAGCGTTGAGTTTCACCTCATGAATCGCTTCTTGAAATGATCCGTTCTTTCCGTTTCTTAGAGTAGTCTTGACTACCCTAGTTTGTTGCGTTGATTGTGTTGCGTTGCGTACTTATGCTGAGGTGTGCGTGATGGTTGTGGGACATAGACACAGCCTCCATGCGCCTGGGATCCCAGTCTTAGATTGCCAAGCTCACTGCCCGATGCATTGTATCTAAATGGTGCGACGAACCGTCTTGTGTTGCGGCCAAGTGGGAACTATTGAAAATAACGCTCCGTTGACTTTCACAGTGCTGGTGCATGAACCCAAGAACTCGATTTCTAGTCACACCCGGCGCTACACAACCCTGTGACTAGGTAGAATGAAAGAAGCCGGCCAAAGTGAAGTCAGGAATTCCTAGAATAATGGGTGACAAATCAAGGCACATCCCTGAACCCTACCTAGACACGACCTTTTGAAATCACGAGATGATCCCGATTGGCTACCTCTCAGCCCCCACGCCGAGAGTGTCCCAAACAGACAAATAAGCTTCAAAGCTGCATAACACCCTGAAAATCCGGGTGGTCAAGACGGCATATCACTTATCGTATAATCGTCCTCAGCCAAGGAAAGGGGCTTCGGACTTTGTGTGTCGCGGAAGGGTGCGTGATACCTTCTTCGTGTTGTCATACGCGTCTACGGAGAGGATTCCGGACAGGGAAAATTCCACCGGCTGGCCTTCCCTTGCTGCAGGGCAACATCTCTAGTTTACATTGGGCCCTCAACTATAGGTATGTAATCAGGGACAAAAGCCAAGACTAGATTGGAGTTCTAGCACAAAAAGGGATAACCATCACCGGCAACGTTCATCTGGTTCGATCCGGATGATCCCAAGTTGCACAGGCATTGGGGTTGCAAGATCGCATTCATTTATATTAGTGTCACCTGTCGGTGCTTTTCTCAGCCCGATTAGGAATAGACAAGGACTGAGCCCTCTACGTAGCTACTATTGGCCCAGGAGAGATCCTCAAACCCTTGTCGCTCAAAGGGGTCACAAACAAGACGTCGCTTACACCGGTTCGTCCGTATTCCACTCGCACAAATTTGCCATCCTGTGCATCTTAATGATCTCCATCGTAAATCAGACGTTCTAGGTTGCATTATTAATAGTATCAGGTATCTAGGATCGAAAGACCTTTTGTCCAGATTGACCAGTGATGGCTGAATGGGTTCGAATCATACAGCCCAGTGGTTTCGCGCAACCGGCCAAGGGTTGTTTGTGCCAAAACCGGCCATCTGTTCATCCGACTAAGGGAGAAATTACAACTGAATATTCTCGGGGGATGGTGAAATTTGATCGGGCATTCGTCTCCACGGCTTGAGAGATGAAAGCTTTCCCGTCTGTACCCTGACCAAGCTAGAACTTAAGAGCGGCCATGAAACCGCATTAGCCAGGTTGTGTATTGGCCGGCATACTCAAAAGTGAGAATTCCAAGACAGCCCGGGCTATCAAATCTATTTTTTCCATACATTATGATGCTGAGGCATTGAACCAGGCATGTCAACTCAGAAATTGCCCCACTTTCCATATTCTGATATGTACATAGTTCAATGCATGATTGATGAGCTTCATGTAAGCTTGGAAGCTTTGCCGTGCGAGTGAGCATGCCAGCCGTGAGTGTCTTTGGAGACAAGAAAGACATTTAATTGTTGGTACCTAGGGCAAAGATACCTGGAATCAGATATAAGTGTGACTGTAGACACTATTTTGTTCGCAGTGGCCCTTGGTAGTGTAATCCTCGATCCAATTACGGCCGCGAGGAGATATTCACTAGGCTATAGATGGTGAAGACAGATGGAATTTCCACAAGACGAGAGAAATTCCATCATAGGTAAAGGAGCGTCTAGGTTTGTTGACGACACGCGACCCCAAGAATGCACCGACAACGTGACGTGTAAGGCAAATGGGACGTAGCAACCACCAAATACTACCTACTAGAACTCTCCGAGGCAGTCTGAAGCCTTCGAAGAAATATGGGATGATAATTAAATGATGAGAAAGGCCATAGTAGCGGTAGGCGCGACCATGACAGCTTTTAGACTCAATAATTGCCAAGTCGAGGTATTGGAGATATTGTGAGGGCATAGTCGAGTAGCTTGGCCTTGGTCATACACCCACAGCAGCGACGCTCTATTATACATGTGGCTAGGAGAGAAAGCCGCCATAGGTATATGGCGTTTTAGTATCACTTGCTGCAGCTGTCTGTCTTCGTACATTATGTCACAAGTGGGCGCCAACATAGTTTACCTTTACCGATATCCAGTATTGAGCATAGTTGAGAGTATTTTACGTTATGCGTTACATTCAATTGTTATATTAGTTCACAATGTTCATCCGGCGCTTTGAACATTTTCTTTCAGAGATGACCGGCTGCTTCTAGCCAAGTTACTTATGAATCATCTTACTCGCCACTCGGTGGATTGATCTCAGTACCGACTGGCAGAGGATCGCCCAGGTCAACTGTATTGTTAGTCCAGCGTACAGGCTGGATAAACACCTTTCGAGTGGTGCCACATCCATCACCCGGATTAAGGTTGGCATGGAACACCTGCCAATCCTGTGTCCCGTCGGGGCTCTTGAAAAAGGCATTATGGCCAGGCCCATAGAGTCCGTTCTTGGTTTCGAAGATGGGCTGAGATAGCTTGGTCCATGAACTCCGGCTGAGCGGATCGCCGCCTTTAGCGAACTTCATGGCGCCGAGCTTGTACGCCGGCGTGCTGCAAGAGTCGGCTGAGTAGACTACGTAAATCGTGCCGCAAGGCGAGACTACTCCGTATGGTCCCTCAAGAACGGCAGAGTCTTCTTTCTCCCATCCGTATTCAGGGGCTGCTATCATTGTGGCATTGCCGCATTCTGTTGGCGATAGGAGCTCAGCGATCCAGAGTGATGCACCATCAGGGCTGATAGGGCCCTTAACAGCAGAAAACTAAAAAGTGGCTCAGTACTCTATCTGGCAAAGTTGTAGGAAAATTAACATACCAAAAAATACTTCGTATTTTCAATCTCAAAAACAGTCTAGAGGTTATTCTGTCAGTTCTGTAACTGGTATGGATCAATCGTACAGCATACCGCATCAAGCATCCCTCCGTCGTAGTTTGGAGGAACAATCGAGTCCAACAATGTGTAGTTTGCAGACAATGGGCTCTGTTCGCCGCCTTCGAGAACAAACACTCTCAAAGACGGCAGCACGATACCCCAGTCGGAGTTGCATACACTTGCTGTAAAGTATGTGTACCACCGATCGCCAAGTTTGTGCATCTCAGGCGCCCAGAAATTGCAGGCTCTGGCCGGATTCGTGGTATCGGACCAGATGACGCGAGGCTCTGCTGTCTTGAGACCTTCGATAGTGGAGGCCGCGGTGATACGCACATCGGTCCACGTTGTGGAGGTCAAATAGTACCTAAGATGGATTGTAAATAATGACAGAAAATCAATGCTAGCACATGACACTTACATTCCATTCTCATACACCATTTGCGGGTCGCTCCCTGTTCTAATAGGATTGACGAAGCCATAAGTGAGGCACGGCCAAAGACCAGCGAGACATATAATCGTTGAGAAGGCACGCATTGTGGACATTGGGCCATATGATGGGACTCAATACTCATAAAGGCTGGATTCACTATGACCTCCGTCGCTCGGTCGTCTTATGTGTGTTTTAGAAAATTTCGTAACCTTACACGACAAACATCAACTCCTTCCAAGAGTGTATTGTCAACATATCGGCTCGGGTCCCAAAACACCGAGTAGCGCTTTGAGTTTATAAAGACTCACGACGTAAGATTGGGGCGGGTCGCTGTCTTTATTCGCAAGCCACGATGAACTACTCCGTATTTGTGCGGGGAAGAAAATCGCGGGGTTCTCACGGGGAAGATGATCTGGGCGTGCTGGGGTAAAGATGGCTAACGTGGGATCGACGACACTAATATGGATTCCATTGACGCGCTCCAATTACTGGCCTCTCTCGTGTGAAGCGGGTCCGGCGTGCCGGGTTATTGGCCGGGTCGGCTTTTGTCACGTCCGGGGGAATCTGAAGTGAGCCAGCGATTGGCTGTTCCCGGCTTGAGATCAAACCTCATGTCCTTGATAATCCAAAACGTTCTTCTCGTGAGGTGACTGGCATACCTTACTTAGCGATGCGATGTGGGATCTACAAGAAACCTTAGCCACTGGCGCGCTCTAAGCAAGAATGCTCCATTCTCTGTCCAACCTCAAACAACGCTATGTACCAAGACAGCAGGCGCTTAAGAAAAGCTAAACCAAAGTTAATACGAGGATCGGATCAGAGTTGCATCTTCCTTCCCAATCTGGGTTTGACAATGGATCAAGCAGGTAGACTCAGCTGCATGGCTGCCGTGTCACTTATTTAAGAGTCGCTCGGGCTGACAGCAGTGTCAACTCTGACACTCTGACACTCCTGATTAACGTGACCACTTGTACAGCCTCACTCTACTACCTTCATGATCTCTCATAATAGGCGCTGTGCTGATTTTTCTCGTTACAATGTTTATCAGCTTCAACCCATTGCTCGCCGTTGCCACTTTGGCTTCTCTAGCTATACTCGCCGCGGGATCACCAACAAACCTTGGTAGCATTATAAGCCCAGAGCACATCAAACGCCAAATCGATTGCAACTCTCAATACGAGGGATACGCATTTCTATACTTCAGCAACCGCGACGAGAATATCTATCTGGCTGCCAGTAACGGAAATGATGCCTTATCATTCACAGAGCTCAACAACGGGCATCCGATCCTGAAATCGACCGACGGAGACGGTGGAGTTCGTGACCCTTTCATCATGCGTTCCCCTAAAGGCGACAAGTTCTACATACTAGCCACGGACCTCTGCACCGCCTGCGGCACGTCTTGGGGGGAAGCCCAGAGTTTTGGCAGTCGATACCTCGAGATCTGGGAGTCGGAGGACCTCATCACATTTAGTGCTCAACGCCATGTCCTGGTATCACCGGATAACTATGGCAATACTTGGGCACCTGAGGCGTACTATGACGAGGAGCTACAGACCTACGTTGTGTACTGGGCGTCCAGTGTCTACAATAGCACGACCAATCCTAAACACGATCCTCTCGAGTACCAGAGAATGGTCTACGCTACCACGCAAGATTTCCAAACTTTCAGTGAGCCAAAGATCTGGCAAGACGAGCCTCCCAGAGGCCGGATCGACTCAACTGTGATCAAGGAGAATAACATCTACTATCGCTTCACCAAGGCCACTATAGATGGCTGCGCAGACATTGTCCAGGAGAAGAGCTCCAATCTAACTGCCGGACTGGCAGGTTGGGACAAGGTGGCCAGTTGCATTGGTACAAACGCGGGGACCAAGGAGGTGGAGGGTCCCTCCATCTTCAAGGCGAACTGTCAAGATGTCAATGGACCGAGGTACATTATGCTGACCGACGAATTTGGCGGCAATGGCTATGTTCCACTTGAGTCATCCGATCTTGCAAGCGGGAGATGGACATTGCGTAAAGATTTCAAGTACCCCGCCTCTCCTCGCCACGGTACTATCATCCCCCTTACTGCAGAAGAGTTAAGTAGTATCAAGGTAGCTTACAACACCACTAGTTGAATTCTATAAGTTGTAGGATGGTGGTATTTACAATCTAAGAATCTTAGAACAGTGAGCGGAAAGGCTGATAAAAAGAGTTTCATAAACCCGTAAGATTTTCAATGGTAAATGTGTTGAGTTCGTCCACTTGCCATCATATCTCTAGGACTTCTCCATACTAGCCAAGTGAATGAGCCAAGTTAGCCAAATAAGTGACTTCGTATGCTCGTTGCACACAAATTGCCTCTTTCTGTACACTCTTCTCATGATTTCACAGAGTTCACAATCTCTTTGTGCTCGCGGACTAGTGTATGTCTCGCAAATTGGGACGCCGTCATTTCGTGGAGAGTTCCTCCTCGTGTTCATAGACATTAGACTATGATGTAATAACCATACGCATGTCGAAAATTGGATATGATTACTGGTCGGTCCAGGAGGGAGCATGAACACCGATTACTTACTGAGTAACGTACCCTGGATGTGTAAGCCAGCTGAAAACTACAGCGTGCGGGGTGCGTACTCTGGGAATCTCTCCTAGGCTACAATATTTAGATATCTTGGCATCTGCAAGGCTTAGATGGATAAGTAGACATATGAATCTACTTGCTTGTCTTCTTCAGGCAGTCGTCTTGCTCTCTACTTGGCGGGCCAGGGTAGAGTTTGAGAGGGTACGACTTACACTCAATACCGCGAGCCCAGCCAGCGATTCTGGCTCTTAGATCAATTTCCGAGTTCGCGTTCGCACCTCAACGACCAGCATTCCTTGTGTCTAGGTCATTAGACGGTTTTCAAAAGAACAGCTTGCGAATTATCTTGATCATTCTTAAACTGGAATTGCTCCTTCTTTCCTTTCCTCCCGTAAGGAGTACATGCTTTCACTAGTCTCCTCCTTTACAGTAGTAAAGTAAGGTACGAGATAATTGAATAGGGCTCGTAATGCCGCCAAGCTACCGCAAACCACGGCTACATTCACCTCGACGCCACTCCAACTGACAACATCAGCGTTGTCCCCTAGTATCGAGAGCGTTAGTAACCATTGAATGTTTCAACATAATACCCTGGGTTAATGACATACATGTCGGGTCAAAGCTGTTCGCAAAGGAGACTAAGTACTTGAGTCGAACCACGCTGGCAATGCATCCGCTAGATGTCTCATTAGTATTTCCAATCAACTCCGGAAGAGTCGGTGATTCTTACAACGAGCCAAGGCAGAACATGAAGATCAGGCCGAGCTTCTTCTTGAGCCCCAGCTGCAGGTGCAGAAGCTCGGGGATGGGCATGATAAGAAGTGCCACATCCTCAACAATGCCAGAGATGGCGCCGGCGTAACCGATGGCCGTGAGGTTAAGACATTGCCCCTTGGCCGACTTATCCCAGATTGCGGTAAGCGGGACACATTGGAAAGCGATCAAGAAGACCACGACAAGCCCACGAATAATGAGCACCACAATGGCAGCCTTTGCAGCTATCTGTGATCGCTTACTGGGGAAGACTCGGTGGTAGAAACAACAGATGGTGATCTTTGCAGTAATCCTGATGAGATTCAGCTTCAGGGAATCCAGTATAGGGCTTCAGAGCAAGACTCACGTTACAAGAACATATATGATTTGCATCGCGTAGAACATCTGTGTACGAAAAGTGATTAGCTGATTAAAAGTGGAAGGATAGCCATGGAGGGGGGCCAAGTTACCTGTAAAATTGGCTTGGCATTGCTAGGGTCAATGACCCAGTAATGCTTCCCGAATCCCAAGGAACAAACTATAGATCGAAGTTAGCCCCTCCATCCTCATGTTATTGTAAAGCTGTTGGCAACTTACTCGCTACGCCACATGCCGATAAAACAATGAGCAAACCCTTCTGATCATCAGTTCCTAAATTCGCATGGCGGGATGAAATAGCGACATGCATACCAAGGCGAGTAGTGTAACGTAGTCATCCCACCACAGCTTGCGAGCAACAGTCCAGCGGGCGAAGCATCTCAGAAACACGATGAAAGTCGTGATGACTGGTAGGGTGATGGCGAATATAGCATAGCTTCCCTTCCGTTGTTGATTCGGGTAGTCGTGGCACAAGACTTGGGATTTTCGTGTGGCATCTGGATAGGACAAGCTTTAGAACGGTGCTCAAAGGTCGCAGGCATAAGCAATATGTACTCACCGACTTGATCGGCAAAGTCACAGGACAGCTGCACGCATGTTGAGACCCTTAGTTGAATGTCATCGTTCGTGCAGGCGCATTTCGCAAGCCCCTTGAGCTGACAGCTCCCGGATGAGAGAACCTCAGCGAAGCATGGCATCTGAATTCAGAAGAGTGTGAGTATATGTTTGAGCAGAACGTGGGTTCAAATCGCGCCGTAGAATCCACGACAAGAAACAATCACTAAGCCAAAGGGGCTTATGACCTACCGAGCATTGTGGTACTGCACCAAGCCACTGTGCAACCGCCGTCGCATTTGTGTCGAATATTGACTCTGCTCCTGCCACCAGCGCCAATGCCGCCAGGATGCCTGTCCTCAGAAGCATGGACTTCATCATCGCGATAAAGTTGCAGAACCTAGTCGTGTCTTTTGGCAATGGTGAACGCGAAAGGCCCTGCCAACGCAAACCTTGTCGCCAATGATAGGAGACTCCCGGGGGGAAACGCAAAAGAGAAGAAAGTAGCAACACCGCTACCCTTGCGCAACGGGTCTGGCAACCTCATATGAGATTCGATCTGCCCAAGGGGGGTTCCGCACTGCGGGTCCCGTTGTCCGCATGCCGCCGTAGGGGCCGGTCGCTTTTGCCAGAACAGTTTAGAAGCGGAATTTAATAGTGCTTTGAGTATGGATGCCGGTGGGCCATGGCGCTAGTCTCAAGGTACAAGTCGACTCGTCGCGCGACTGATGCGCCTACGCCGGCCGACTAACCGCTTAGGTCGACGCTACGCCCTTGACCCTAAGCCAGACAGTGATGGCTGTGTCGCGGTCCCATCACTGATCCAACAGCTCGAAGTTTGATGCTTGA